GAAATTTCTCGAATGTTTTCATTACTATAAAAAGGTGAGATCTGCATCTCCCAAATCGGGTAAAACTCCTGACTGTACTTGCTGAATGTGAATATAAACCAGAACAAGAGGAAGGCACCGAAGACGAACAACCATTAAAAGCAATGTAGATCTCAAAGAAAGAGGTATAAAGGAAGCAGAGTGAGGGAAGTATGAGTTAAGGGACATAAGTGCCTGTCTTCGAATGGCTATTACTTCTCAACAGCTTATCAGATCTTTTAGACTTATGACAAAGTAAAGAAAAAAATATACGGTAATCTAAGAATATAATATCCTATCATAGTAGTAGCTCAAATAAAGCGGATTTTGCAATTTTTTTCAAAATATTTTCTTTAAATGCGTATTACTGTTCAACCACGCATCCTTTCACTATGTATTTTGGCTCATTTAAATCTCCAGTATTCTTCTTAATGGTCAAAGTGCAGGTATTATAATTATAGTAATATCGTTCTCAAAAGACATATCAAAAATAAGTGTCAAATGTGCCTACAGATTATGACATTCTCGTTGTTATTATGATTGATGTTAAGAAGACAAATGGAAAGTATCGGCTAGGACGTGTCTTTGGGTTAGTTGTAAGTACTATTGGTTGATGCGAAAGAAAAAACAACATCGGGATCATATGGCCCAAGTCAGAAAGGTTTGATATTCTTATCTATTATAAGCTCAGAGCTTGCATTTAATGCTTGCACTTAGAAGGCTGCACTTAAAGAAGGTTGACTGTGCAGTAGGAAATTGTTTTGGGGACTATTTCAATTTTGGGGTACCATTTACGGGATTTATACAGTGACGGAACATATATTAATATACAATTTAAACTTAATCTCCTGATAATGCTCGAGACTATATATTTTACTCGCGTACGTAACGTTGTTAATTCAGAGTATTTATGCAATACGGCACCAAACACGTATTCATTTATTGTTTTTGATTCAAACATTCCGCCCGTCGTTCTAGCATGGACAACGTTCTGACTGGCTTTTGAAACCAGGCGAAACCTTGACATACCCAACAGGTCTTACGTACGATACAACACTTACTGACCACGGACGTAATCAAGCTCGTGAGCTTGCAGCTTATTTAGTCACAAATAACATTAAGCTTGATCGCCTATACTCTAGTCCTTTCTACCGTACAATGGAGACGGCTAATGTCGTTGCGGAAACTTTGGATCTGCAAATACTTGTCGAGAATGGGTTAGGGTATGACTAGCTGATTATATTTCTACATCTTGTTTTCCCTTCTATTCTGTTTGATCTCATTATTGTTGCCATCGAGGGAGTGGTTCAATGTCGGCTGTAAACGCGCACCAGCTTCGCTCGTACAGCTCCATTCATACTTTCCGCGTGTCCATTTACCATATAATCCTATTCGAATACCGTCGCCTAATGGAGAGACTCTTCAAGATCTTCGTGATAGACTGTCCTCCGTTATGAATGAGATGATCTCACAATGTGATGAGGCAGGCAATGTCAAGACTATAATGACAGTCGGACACGCGGCATCAGTCATAGAAGGCGTAAGAACTGTCATTGGAGATAGATACGCATCAGTAAATTGCGGAACTTGTACGCTTACAGTTGCAAAAAGAATAGAAGGCGAATGGAAATTAATCACCAATGGTGATGCATCTTTTCTATCTAAAGGGGAGGAGAACAAATGGGCTTTTACAGAAGTAAGAGTACTGGAATAAACAAGTATATCGCTTGATGCAAATAACATATTTAGATGAAAATGCATTAATAAGTTTTATCTAGTAAAAATCAAATTTTCTATTTACATAGATAGCAAGTTATACATAAGTTTTATAATTGGCCGTGTATTATATCGACCAGCATAGAAGAGTGGTGTCCTTTTCGTTGGCGAAGTCAGTCCGGAATTTGTTTTTTGTGTTTGTTTTATTCCTTTATTATTTAAGGAATAAAACAAACACAAAAATTGTAAAATTGTACTTTTGTAAATTTGTTTGTCTTTTTTTGTGCTTATTTCCCGATTGAATTATTTTTTATACCGGATTTCATCCGTTGGCTTATAGAACTTAATACGCCTTTCCTCAAGAACATGTTAGGTTTTTAGTAGCGACTGTATACAGTCACCCCTCAGTTGTATCCCTCCCCTATTGTATCCCCCTCGGATATAACCCATTGGATTTCCTCTATTTTAATTCCGATATGAAAATCTATTATGATTATGACTCGTTAATATCCCTACCTTACTATACATGCTATTCGTGTTATATAAAACATCGTGCTATTTCTATGTAGAGTCGAGTCTTCTTAATGTACCGCTTCGATCTTTAAACTTATTGGTTGGTATACAAAATTTGGTCAGACGTCATGCGGAATTTCCTTAAACACTCACTTTAAATAGTACGGTGATCTATAATATAAATAAATGATTAATTTAGGTAATAAGTTAGAAAACTTTACTATATTCTATTAAGTAAATTCACTTCATTGTATTGAAATCAATCACCTAAAGATTGCAGATTTGTCAATGAATATGACAGCAGAAGAATATGATCAGTTGGAGAGTGGTTTGATAAGCCGAAGAGGAGGAAGAGACTATTTCTGTCAAGATAGGAAGAGAAGCGCTTGAACAAAGGGAATTTACGACTGAAGAGGACATAAAATATATACGTTTAGACGAATCGACCCCTTATCTGCCCCGTACGATGGGGACCTAACTAATACTATGGTCAACCCCTACTGTGGAGAAAACATTGAATTTAGGGGCGTCTTTAACCGCTTAATAATCAAATAATTAATCAGTAAAGGAGTAGTGAAATTATTATGAGACGATAATCACTTCAAAAACTATCCAAGTTAGGATTATTTACTGAATTAGGTAAGCCTTTCATTTGATATAATTGCTGAATTCTTTGGTTAGCACTTTGTAATCTCTTTTCTAAATCTTGCTTTTCACCTAACAATTGTTTGTTTTGGACTTGTAAATTAATTCTTGATTGATCAGATTTAACCAATTCATTAGCAGCAGTTCCAATTTCTTCCACTAGGACTTTTAACTGCTCCCGATATTTACCAAAATCCTTAATATTTTCTAATCTCTTTCCGGAAAACCTAACAAATAAGAATGTCACCCCTGGGAATAAAAAAATAAAAACCCCTTCCCTCTCGACTTTTCAATTTATCCTTAAAAGAGAAAAATTATTCTCCTCTTCTGGTAAAACTTAATCACTAAAATAAAACTAACCTACTAAGGAATATACTCCGGACGGACATCAAGTTGCTGTTTTTGCTGAAATACATTTGGAGTAATTAGTTTAATAGGTAGTTTGGTTCCATTATTAATCAAAATAAAAAAATTAGAGAATATGTTATACAAGCAAGAAATAGAACTTAAAAAGCAAGAAATAGCCCGAAAGGATTTAAGAATTAAAGAATTAGAAAAAGAAATTCAAAAGTTAGAGAAAGAAAATAAAGATTTAAAAAAAGGGAAAAAGTAGCTCTGTGGAAAAATCAAAACGTCAAACTTCGTTAACAGCCAGTAAAATTGCTTGTAATACTTAACTCGGTTATATCCCCGCTTCCGCCTCAAGGTGGGGATATGACTGTACTAGATTGTTTGCGTCGAGATTGATGTTTATGCCCGAGACATTGAACAGCCTGTTTGTGCAAACAGTATACGGATACTTTCGGGGGTTTTACGTTCTTCAATAATTCTATGCAAAGCAATTCGCTGTATAATATTTTGTGATCGCCCATTCTAAACGAGCAATTTACCGTATTTCATCGACATGTATACCATCCGTGTGCGGCAATTTTGAACGCCAAAACTGCAAATTAAATTTTTAATGTTAAATCGAAGTTCTTACTGACTATCTAATACACCCCCTGGGTACTAAAATGAACAAAGGAAGACCCCGGGTACACATGTAGTGCTTTAAATCTCATCTTGAAATGGGACAATAAACGATGGTCGGGTAAATCAACGAATTTCAATTGCAGTCAACTCTAAGTTCTGTCCGTAACGATTACAGAACACACTTACCTTTCCCGGTTTAGTCTTTTTATTAGTAAGCAAGAGTTGCATCCGGATCCGGCATATGAAATAAGAAATTTCGCCAGTTATAAAGTACAACAGGAATAAAGCCGACGTTATACCGATTTACAAATTGACGATTAGACATACATCAATACAGCCAGAGCGTGCATATATTGGAGGGTATGCGTGATATATTTATTTTATTTATAATAATAGCCAATAATAGTAGAGGGGAAACTAAACTGCATTCATCGACTTTGGAGTGTCTATATTAATAAATTTAAATTTCCACCTTTAACAAAGATGCTAATTAATGAATGTGCAAAGAGTATATCACGAACGATTAAAATTCTAATAAGACGATGCAATATGTAGGTATTACAAATCGCACTCTTCCTTTGTTTAGATAGATATTTGTGTAACGACATGAAAAATCACAGACTTGGGCATGTATATATACTCCATTGCATTAACATAAGAGAGTGAACAAAGTGATAGTAATTCTGATTACCCGTATTACTTAATTCAGTCAGGAGTTTTGTTTTACCCAATTTGGGAGACCAGTTCTAGAAAATTCAGAGCAAATACCGCGCTTTCATTGATCCAATATTGCAGGCTAACAGTTGAAATCCACTTTTACGAGTATACACTTTCAGGATCACGCAACCACTAATACCGTACACTTGTCACACACATTTTGGAAACTTGAGATCTAAGTTGCGTATGCAGTTAGAGAGGATTAACGGAAACGGCTGAGAGGAACAGGAATAGGAAGCAGGAAATAGGGGGCCAAGTATTTTTCTGAACTATCTTTCTTCATTGCTTTATTCTACTTTCCATGTAAAAGGCATGTCAAACGGTCTTTGTTAAACAGAAAAGTAAAGTGGATGATTCAGCGAGAAGGCTTACTGACAATAACGACGACTGCAGCGAAAAAGGTTTTCCGATGTGCTCGTTATACCGAAAGAATTTTGACTCCCCCGTTTTCTAAATAGTAAAATTCCTGAAGTTCGATGCAGGATTTACAGTCTCTTAAGGCATCATATTTCGTATTATTTTAAATGCAGTAATCATTACGATACTCGTACATTTATTGGTTACTGATTGTTTTATTATATTTGTCGTATATAAATCCCGTCGCCGTATAAATCCCGGATTTATATGTATAAATGCCGTACCACGATTTATATATATAAATCCCGTCAAAGTACCCCATAAATCTAGATGGTTGATAGTAGCATACAATATTTCAGAAATAACTTTATTTTCTCAAAATCGACTGATAACCGCTAATACTTAAAAGCACAACTTCAACTATTTTATGACTAACGCTAGACAAGCTTTGCAAGCTGCTGCATAGCTTATAGCCTCCGGGAAAAAACAATATTGCTGGTTGAGGGAGCGCCATGCCATGTTGAATTTTGACCATAATGGTGCATACGGCAAAATGTGTGGTACATTTCTTCTCGTGTGCAAACACAATCTTGATTAAATTGAAGAACGCTTTGAGCTACAGAATATGTTAGCGAATAGTCCTTCTATTGGAACGGAGATGTAAATACAATTGTGAATAAACATCGCCTGACATATCATTGTGAGTATGCTTGAGTTACTAAAAACGTTAACGAGAAGAACTGAGTTACCGAATACGTTAGCGATATTCCTTCAATTTGTAAATATTGTGAAAGAATGCTTCGAGTTACTGAATACGTTAGTAAAATTTTTCATTCAAATCAAAACTTTTAACCGTTTAAGTTTAAGCTTTAAGGTGGTGCGACACACACCAGCCGACTTGTCAACCAAATTTGGGCTAAAATACGGACGGATTATGTGAAATTTGATAGATCTATAGTTACTGTTCTAATTCCACGTATCTATCGATACCATTGGATCGGCCGTTACTATCTTGCAAAATAATCGAAAAGACAAATGGAAAGTATCGGCTAGAATATGCTTCTGGGATTTTGAACGTTACTTACGGATGCAAATAGTGGAAGCAGCTGAGTTTCCTGAGTTATTTGATGTACCTCAGCGACAAGTAACATTGAGAGAGGCGGCAAGAGGCCAAAGTGTTGTGTCGAGCAGCAGTCGACAGATACGGTGTGCTTGTAGAGGCAGATGCACTGATGGTCGATGCCACAAAACTAGCGTTAGTTGTAAAATGGTTGAAGTTGTGCTTTAATATTGTTAGTACAGTCAGGAGCTATTCGATTTTGCAGATCAATTCTAGAATATTCAGATGCATTTCTCGAAATCTGATTGGTTTAA